ACTTACTTTTATATAAATATATGTAAATGTTAATACTCTAAATCTAGTACTGCTTTAAGAATCAAACATTTCGGACATATACATGCTTAAAAACAGGTTCGGAGCAGTACCAGAAACATATTCACATATTTTTTTAAAAGTTTATTTATCCTAAGAGATATACAAAACAAACATTTCTTTTGTAACTGTCGTAATTCCCCTATAATAACACAGAAAATTCTGCCGTAATTTTCAATATCTGTTTTTATTAATTACCTCCATCAAATGGATACCTTTCAGTACAATTCATTTTAACCAGCTATGTTAAAATTATGCACATCTGCAAATCAGTATTAAAATATTACAATTTCATATTTTACAGTATTCGTCCTCTAGCTCCCTCTAGAACAAGTTTTGCTTATATAATCACACAATTATCCATTACATGACAATGTGCAGGGGAGATGAAAAGCTTTTACGTCAAAAAGTAGTGGTTACCTGCTGAGCCAAATCAAGGTGCAAGTCAGTCTGACTGTAAAGAAGCCTCTTGTATATTCATTTTGCATACCAATCTTGGCCACGAAATTCATATTTGTATTACTTAGCCTGCTTCTTTTGGTATGCTTCTTACACAGTTGACTCTAATCTCAATGATTAAGTTCTGTACATACTAGGATCTAGGAATGTTAATATTACAAGAAACCACAATAATTTATTATAATACAGCCTGCTGTACACCAGATGACTTGAGGCAATACAAGACACGCCTTATCTTACTTTCTTAAACAATGAACGGAATCACATGTTTCTGAAAGAATTTTAACGTATTCGTTTTATTGGAAAATGAATATGAGAGGGAGAATGACGATGGTAAGGGCAGGGACCACTTCAATTTGCTAAAAAAAATCAAAGTACACTTCTATTTTAATTTGTCTGTAGCGACTGTCATTAATTTCGATAAGAACAAAAATTAATTACTTCGTATGATTATAAAAAATTGAAATTATAATTATTGCTAAGATAACATAAAAGCAAAATTTTTATCAATTATATAAAACAAATTAGTTTCTTTGTTTTTACTTTCTTATGAATAAAAATTAGTTTCATCCGTTGTAGTATTTTTCAAATACCACTGCTCCATGGCTGGGTTGTTGCCCCAATTTTGATTTCACCAAGTTGCGAATTAGATATTTTGTTTAGATTTCAATCACTTATAAGCTATAAGGCTCAATCTCGTGGTTTAGAATACATCATTTGTGGAAACTATCACATGTTGACGCAGATGTAGAATCGAAGTTGCATTAAAATATATACTTATCCTAATACTTACAACTATACGACACGTACTTAAATCAATTACATTCATACAAAGCAGCCCCATGCCCCACCTGCGACAGATTTGATTTAAAGAAATATTCTGTACAAGGATATACAATAAGTCTTCTTACACTGGCAGCGAATGAACTGAACTGATAAATACCAAACTATTTATTTCGAATGATACCGCCCAACTATGGAGCCGCCGTATCTTGATTTACGTAGCTTTAACGTAGTCTGGAGACAATATCAACAATGATTGAGCCCCTGCGCCTTCCACCTGATAGAAAGTGGGCACCATATTTTTTTTCATTCTGCTATCCTACGCCATTTTACATGTTACTATCAATATGTTAAAATACAAATATCATTCATACGATCTTCTCTCGCATCTCTCATACATACAATTTTAAAATAATTATTATAATCGCGGGTATTTAATTATTATTGTAAATAATCAGGGACTGGTGATTAGTTATTTGTTTTCCTAGTGGTGTAAGTACGCTCACGCTAAGATCAATGGTACGTACAGTAGGTGAGGTATGCTTTCAGGATCAAGGACACGGGGTGATAGATGAAATTTTGTCGTGCATCCGCTATTCATCATCTTCTTTATACTCTTCTTCACTGTCACTTTTTACAGTATTTGCTGGAACTCCTACTACAGGTGCGCCATCTTTCATTTTCTTTTTGTACGCAGTCATTTCCTAAATAGCAAAATATAATGTATAGAATTCACAGTAAATTATTGCAAGTATTTTTAGCGCATTCTTATATACTGTAGTTTAAATATTTAATATTTCTAATATTTAATAATACAATGAAGAATGGCTAATAAATCGTACATAAGTACTACACATACTCTTTCATATCGTGCCTTATCCTTTTCCGCCATAGCCTCATACTTCGATTTGGTTTCAGGATCTGCATCTGACCATTTCTTACCAAGTTCCTTAGCAATGTCACCAACACCAAACTCGGGATTCAACAATTTCACTTTTCCACGTTCATCGTTACAGAACCAGAAAAAGGCAGATCTATAGGACAAAACATTATATCGTTTTCATATTACTTTATAAGTATAAATGCAAATAATAATTATTTAGCGACAATTAAAAACTATCTCAAGACATTAAACACTTTCATTACTTACAGAGATCTTTTAGGAGCATTATGGTCTTTGATGTGTTTACGTTTTTTGCCCCTGCCCTTACTTTCGCCTTTCGGTGGTGTATAATTTTGCATTTCTGCATCGTATCTTTTTTTATCTTTCTCAGCCATTTCGTGAAAACGCTTCTTTTCTTTGTCTGACATAGTCTATAAACACACACGATTATAAAAGGCACATATGTATGCCACTGAACTCAAAATATACATAAAACAATTATACATTACACATAATAACATAATAACAATAATACATTTAACATAGCGAGATGCTATAGAGTATAAACATGATATAAATATTTATAATATTCATATAAATTGACTATACTATGCTATTTTATACTACAGTTCCTAATTGTATTATTTTTTGAAAACGAAATAATTCGCGACAGGACATTTTACAGCTGCTGAGACCAACATTCTAGTAAGATAATGAAAGGTCAATGTCTTTAATCCTAAAGACCATCTGGTTTGTAGTCTAAAAGAGAAGTGCACAGAAAGTGTCTCGCTTTTCGATGGGTAAGATGGCCAGATGTTGGAGTAGCACCTGTTCAATGTGACGTTATTTCACATTTGCAAAACTTCTTCCACTGAAAAATATATCACAATTTTTCCACTTATTGGAAAATTTGTGATATGTATTATCAGCAGACAGTATTTTGAAAAATATCGTTATTACAAATGCTAGAAAAACTACTGTAGGTAACTTGTATTACTCGCAAAACTTTTAGTTACTATTTTGAAGACAGTAATTTAAATTGTTTCAATCCAGTCTACAATAGTTATAATAATGAATAAAAGGAAAATAAAACGGATAAACGATTAGAGAAACTGAAGATAATGAACTTTATGGTATAATAATATAAAACACAAACTCTAAAGAACAACGAGTTATAAACCGGTCCTTATTCTAATTCTAATATTGACAAGTTCTCAAGTATAGTCGGTGCAAATACATGATTAACCGTTAATCCGAAATATTTCTGATCTATTCACACTGAACCTTGAATTTTAACAAGACTCGTATAATGAAAAATGAATGTGAGTTTTATATTGATGGTATATTATGAAAAAAAAAAGATTTCATCGAAATATTTTAATATTTTGTATGTACAGAAAAATAACTTCGCTGAAATATATCAGTATCGTGTATCGATTAAACAAAAATTCTATTCATTGAAATCGACATTTAAGTATTGCTCTTTTCACTGAGAAAAAAAAAAAAAAAA